ATTAAAAATTTTTCAAAATGTTATGGAATGTAAATATATTACTGTGCAAAATTTGGAAATTCCGTTCATTCCATATGAAATTTACAAGTTTTCAAAATTTTGACTCTTTGTGGACCCTTTGTACATTTTCAGTACATTTTTGATCATTTTGCGGGGGAGGCACCAGAAGGTGTGGACCGATTTTCCCAATTTTCAAAGTTAATATGGGTTTGAAAGTAGGACATTTGGAATTTGATCTACGCTTTGTAAAGATAATAGGTTGTGGCAACTTTAGTCCGATCACATGATATTAAAATGAATTTCCAGTAAAATTTTGTATGGAAGGAGTGAACCGGTGGGTCCCACTTTCCAATTTTAATGTTGTTAGAAAAAAATATTACGATTTGCATATTTGGCATCAAATCGGAGATTCTACACCATTCGTTTCGGATTAAAAAAGTTTTCAACATTTGACCAATTTTAGGAGATGTACCAGAAAGAGTTCACCATTGGGTTCCATCTTCGGACTTTACCTATGCCTGGTAAAATAATATGTTTTGAAACCATAATATCAAATTACAGCCATTTCGAATAAAAACCCCTGTGAAAAATCCTTAGAATCCCGGAAAATTTAAGTACAGTAATATGAGATCTACCCTAAACGTGGACCCATATATTCCATTTTCAATATCAACCTGGAGGTCGTTAACCAACATAGTACATTTTCGTAAACGTTTAATATTATTTTCCAAATACTTCTAATTCACCCAACATATGTGAGCCTCATTCAAATTTTAGTGTTCAATATCCCAATTATAATTCAATCAATTTTTTCTGAGTGAAGACTGTAGAACTCATGGTTGACAATTTTGGGATCTGAGCTTTTCTTCCGAATTATGTAACATATTGAAAAAATATATATCTTACCACAATAAGTAATGGCATTTAGAATGCCCTTATCTAGTAGATCCAAACTAAGATCACATTCAGCACTGGGCAGGATATATGAAACCACAGCCGTTTCGAGGACTGTTGCCATGACGGCTGGCAAGGCCGCAAATAATAATAAAATATTAAAACGGCCAAATCCGCAGGCCTTAATGGCTGTTTCAAAATCAGCTGGACCGTCAGACATGGAGGGGCTGTTGTTGTCCTTGTTATTATTGCGATTATCTGAAAGCAAATATTATTATTCTTTACAATTCAAAAAATAATAATAATATTAAAAATCATACACACACACCTTTTTCAGTGTTGGTGGTATTGGAGATGGTAGCTGTTGGTGCTGTCGTCATGGACCCCATATTGAATGGCAGGACAGAATTTTGAACTTTTTCGGCACAATCACAGAATTATTTTTTAAATTTATTTATTTTATTATTATTTTTGGTTTGTTTTTCCTTGATTATCAACACATGTTTTTTGAACTGCCAATTTTTTCACTCGAAATTTCAATTTTCACTAAATTTTGAACCGTTCCATTAAACATCCCGAGACTAACTGATTAATAACCCGAGATGTTAAATCTTCTTATAAAAAAACTAAATTTTTATATACTCATTATTTGGCTTACGACAACGAAGACCGACGTACGACATTATCTCCCATATTATCTTCATTCATAAAAAATATGATATGGGGGCTTTTGCAAATATATTCCGATAATAAAAAGAAAATCTGGTAAATGTTTGCGATTTTTTTCGTTTTGTTTCTGGCCTTAGTATCAGCAACAGGAAGAATGAATGGCATGGAATATCCCTAGACCACTTTCTCGAAATTAGCAGCAGTTTTTGCCAATTTTTGATCCCCTATCAAAAAATGTTTTCTTTGTTAAAATTCGTAATGAGTATCCATTAGCCTGCTGAAAGATGATGATGATGATTCCAAGTGGTATTTTTTGTTTTGATCTTATCTTTGAATGTCCATATGTATGTAGGTATGTCTACTTATTATTATCATAATAACACCTTTATATGACACAAGAAGGCGACTAACTGTTTGTATTGTCAATGTTCTTGTTGTTGTCATCATTTTTGGGTTTGTTATTGTTTTTCTTTCGTCTCAGTGTCATCAACATAATGACGTTTGATATTTATGATCGCCTCCTTCTGTGGAGACACGATCAACACGAACTGTTCATTATGCCGAGCATGACAACATTGCAAAAATGTAATAAAGATACACTTATGTTTATGTAAATAGCACAGATATTGTTTTGAATTACACATAGATTTTATTATCCGCTTTATATAAGGCATATGTTCTTTCATCAAAGAAGTTGCGGATTTAATGCTGATCAATTAAGTTATTCAATTAGCATCAAATTAAAATTACGACATTATAAAATATTGACCCTTTGTAGTGGAGGTACCAGAAGGAGAGGACCGACGGGTGCCACCCTCGGACTAGATCTAGGCTTGTTAAAGATAATGTGCAAAATTTTATTCAAATCGGACATTCGCTAATATTGGACTAGTAAATATTGACAATATTGACCATTGTGGGGGAGGTACCAGAAGGAGTGAACCAATGGGTCCCAAGTTTGGTTCAAATTGGATAGTATGTTCGCATGATGTTATAAAATTAACTCTTTACAAAATGTTGATCATTTTGTGGAGGAGGTGCGAGAAGGAGTGGACCAGCTTCGAACTTAAACTATGGAATAAATATTACGATCGTATTATCGTGCGCACCAGCCCAGACAGACCAACGGACATTTGTAAATCGACTCCATATTATCTGAATAGGATTTGGTCCAAAGAAACCAAATATTTTGCTAGTTCCTCAAAACTATTTTTTAAAATCCTAGCTTCATGCTTTATTCTTTAAAAATCCACCCTTAAAGCCCTCCTAGGCCCTCACAAAATATTCTTTAAAAATCCACGCTTATAGCCATCCTAGGCCCTCACAAAATAAAAATCCACGCTTATAGCCCTCCTAGGCCCTCACAAAATATTCTTTAAAAATCCACGCTTATAGCCCTCGTAGTCCCTCACATAATATTCTTTAAAAATCCACGCTTATAGCCCTCCTAGTCCCTCATAAAATATTCTTTAAAAATCCACGCTTATAGCCCTCGTAGTCCCTCACAAAATATTCTTTAAAATCCACGCTTATAGCTCTCCTAGTCCCTCACAAAATATTCTTTAAAAATATAGCTCTCCTAGTACCTCAATAAATATTTTGTAAAAATCCTCGCTTATAGCTCTCCAAGTCCTTGGGAAAATATTCTGTAAAAATCCACGCTTATAGCTCTCCTAGTCCCTCAGAAAATATTCTTTAAAAATCCACGCTTATAGCTCTCCTAGTCCCTAGAAAATATTCTTTAAAAATCCACGCTCATAGCTTTTCTAGTCCTTGGGAAAATATTCTTTAAAAATCCACGCTTATAGCTCTCCTAGTCCTTAGGAAAATATTTTTTAAAAATCCACGCTTATAGCTCTCCTAGTCCTTGGGAAAATATTCTTTAAAAATCCACGCTTATAGCTCTCCTAGTCCCTCAAAACATATTCTGTAAAAATCCACGCTTATAGCTCTCCAAGTCCTTGGGAAAATATTCTGTAAAAATCCACGCTTATAGCTCTCCTAGTCCTTCAGAAAATATTCTTTAAAAATCCACGTTCATAGCTTTTCTAGTCCTTGGGAAAATATTCTTTAAAATCCACGCTTATAGCTCTCCCATTCCTGGGGAAAATATTCTTTAAAAATCCACGCTTATAGCTCTCCCATTTCTTGGGAAAATATTCTTTAAAAATCCACGCTTATAGCTTTTCTAGTCCCTCAAAAAATATTCGTTAAAAATCCACGCTTCTAGCTATCACAGTCCTTAGGAAAATATTCTTTAAAAATACACGCTTATAGCTCTCCTAGTACTTGGGAAAATATTCTTTAAAAATTCACGCTTAATGCTCTCCTAGACCTTGGCAAAATATTCTTTAAAAATCCACTCTTATAGCTCTCCAAGTCCTTGGGAAAATATTCTGTAAAAATCCACGCTTATAGCTCTCCTAGTCCCTCAGAAAATATTCCGTAAAAGTCCACGCTTAAAGCTCTTCTAGTCCCTCAAAAAATATTCTTTAAAAATCCACGCTTCTAGCTCTCACAGTCCTTAGAAAATATTCTTTAAAAATCCACGCTTCTAGCTCTCACAGTCCTTAGAAAATATTCTTTAAAAATCCACGCTTGATGCTATCCTAGTCCTTGGGAAAATATTCTTTAAAAATCCACGCTTGATGCTATCCTAGTCCTTGGGAAAATATTCTTTAAAAATCCACGCTTGATGCTATCCTAGTCCTTGGGAAAATATTCTTTAAAAATCCACGCTTGATGCTATCCTAGTCCTTGGGAAAATATTCTTTAAAAATCCAATCCTTGGGAAAATATTCTTTAAAAATCCACGCTTATATGTCTGATAGTCCTACAAAAATATTTTTTAAATATTCACAATTTTAAATATTTTTTTGTTTTCATTTTAGATTACTATGCGCCTGGGAAATTTCAGGGTAAGTAGAAGCACCGAGTCTTTCAGCTCCCAAACATGCAAAATTTTTAGAAGTTTTCAATTTGATTTTCTCTTATAATTTATTATAATAAATGGTGTATAATCATAAAATATTATTTTATATTATTTCTTATTTAACACTAGAACGCCGAAGGCGGTCATTTTGACCGCTTTCCAATTTCAAGTACAAAAGCAACTGTGCATTTAATGACACTTTTATTTTAAATTTGGTGATTTTTTTATAATAAACGTAATTCTATGAGATACAAAAAGTCACAAAATTTTAAAAAAAAGTGTCATTAAATGCACAGTTGCTTTTTTACTTGAAATTGGAAAGCAGTCAAAATGACTGCCTTCGGCATTCTAGTGTTAATAAAAAATCGAAAACATATTTTTTATATATTTATACAAATTTTAATAAAATCAAAAATTTGTATTATTTTCATTTAATTACAATTTTTATTATTAGACGTATTTACAATTTCTTGCTTATTACTTATACATAATGTCTGGTGTGTTCTCACTTAAGCTCCACTTTATTTGAATTTGGTAAAAATGCACACAATAAACAGCCCACTAAAAATCATAGAAGAAAAACATCAGTTAATTCTCCGCAAATATACAAAAATAATGATCTACAAAATACTCACAATACAAGACAATGCCGATCATTGCAATCGGTGGGATGCAGCCGAATGACATAAAAATGGGAAATACGACATTACCAGCTATCGATCCAATGCGACCAATCATCAAGGTCAATGACACAATCATTGTTCTGCGACGAGCAATTAAAAATAATAATATAAAAAAATAATAATATAAAAATGTGTTTTTTACCTCAACGAAGTCGGAAATAAATTGACGGAAGATCCAATAGCTGATGATGCCGACATACTGCCCAATGCTGAATATGTCGATGTTAGTATCAATGTTGTCAGTGACGTTGACGACCAATAGAGGGCGATGCCACAGCTACCAGCAACTGTTAGGCCAATAACTAGAATTTAAGAAAATAAATTTTAAAAAATACATTTTAAGTATGAAAATGTATAAAATATTCTTGTTCATTCATGCTTACCCTGTATTCTCTTATTTCCTATGGCAGTGATGAGTGTTCCCGCTGCTAAATATATAATAAAACCAACACAGCCCACAATGATGTTATTCGTGTAGGATGAAGGGGTAATAATCTGAAATAAAGAAGGAATATGGTATCAGAGCAGGGTATCAGAGCTATAAGCCTGAAATTAAAAAAATATATATTTTTAGAGGGACCAACATGAATTTTTAAAGAATATTTTCTCAAGAAGCCTCAGACAAACAGGCGTGGATTTTTAAAGAATATTTTCTCAAGAAGCCTCAGACAAACAGGCGTGGATTTTTAAAGAATATTTTCTCAAGAAGCCTCAGACAAACAGGCGTGGATTTTTAAAGAATATTTTCTCAAGAAGCCTCAGACAAACAGGCGTGGATTTTTAAAGAATATTTTCTCAAGAAGCCTCAGACAAACAGGCGTGGATTTTTAAAGAATATTTTCTCAAGAAGCCTCAGACAAACAGGCGTGGATTTTTAAAGAATATTTTCTCAAGAAGCCTCAGACAAACAGGCGTGGATTTTTAAAGAATATTTTCTCAAGAAGCCTCAGACAAACAGGCGTGGATTTTTAAAGAATATTTTCTCAAGAAGCCTCAGACAAACAGGCGTGGATTTTTAAAGAATATTTTCTCAAGAAGCCTCAGACAAACAGGCGTGGATTTTTAAAGAATATTTTCTCAAGAAGCCTCAGACAAACAGGCGTGGATTTTTAAAGAATATTTTCTCAAGAAGCCTCAGACAAACAGGCGTGGATTTTTAAAGAATATTTTCTCAAGAAGCCTCAGACAAACAGGCAAACAGACAAACAGCCTCAGACAAACAGGCGTGGATTTTTAAAGAATATTTTCTCAAGAAGCCTCAGACAAACAGGCAAACAGACAAACAGGCGTGGATTTTTAAAGAATATGTTTGCTCAAGAATCCATGAAGTAGATTAGTTAACTTACCACAACACATTCATCTGTGGAATTTTTCATTAGATTCGTTTTATTGACACTGTACTCAAAAATCGTGCACATGCTGGTCGATTCATTCGAAATTTGTTCATATTCATTGAGGGAAGCAAACAATTGCGGTAGCCAAAGACGCAAGGTGTTTTGTCTGAAAAATATGAAAATAATATGAAATTATAATAGCATATCTTGAAAATGTTCCATTCACACCTACCCTATCATGATAAAGAATTCAATCAGACAAACCTGAATGCTCAAACCCAAATATTGTCTGGAACACAATGTCTTAAATATATTTGGTTGTTTATCCATCAGAGTGGCATCTTTTACATTATTTGTGCCCATTTCGGGATTACCTTCATTGCAAATGTCCTTGGTATTGGCCTCTATGGTTGCCACTTGTATTTTATTCAAACTTCCCTCATCCTTTTGTTTAATTTCTTTGATTAATTCTTGAATCTGTAAATATTGTAAATACAAAAATTAAATAATTTTTAAAATTTTAATATTTGGCCCACATACCGGATATGTATCCTTTGATTTCCCTGTATTTGCTGCATACATTTTCCTAAAGACCTCCAGAGCTTCGGTATTTCTTCCTTGTGAAATAAGAAAACGTGGACTTTCGGGGAAAAAACCAAATATGACGCTACTTAGCAGACTGGGTAATCCGCATACGGCCAAATACACTTTCCACGCAACAACTAGGAACACCAACAAACGTTTTCATTAATTCTCCAAAAATTAAAAAAAAATCTTACAATTCATGTTGAATATTTGAAAATTCCAATCTGCCGGTAATACCACGATGGCCAGCAGCGGCATTGTCAAAGTGGCAATGGAGATCATAATACCAACAATCATCATAATACGCATACGAAAATGACTACCATGGAATTCGGATAAATATGATACCAAAATTGCGAAGGGGCCACACATTCTGCAAAATAAGTAAAGAGGGTAGTTAAACATCCCCACATATTTTTTTATAATTTGTTCACTTACACAATTCCACTAAAAAATTTGGCAATCATCAGCTGGGTCCTACTTTGACTCATTGCAGCGCATAGAACACAAATAACATCGAGTAAATGTCCACAGATTAATAGGTTCCGTCGGCCTTTTTTGTCAGCCAAATAGCCCCAGCCCATGGCGGATATTATCATACCTGAAATATGAATATAGAAATAATTGTCAACAAGTAAAAACATCTTGAGAAAATATTCTTTAAAAATCCACGCCTCTTTGCTTCAGGATTCTTGAGAAAATATTCTTTAAAAATCCACGCCTCTTTGCTTCAGGATTCTTGAGAAAATATTCTTTAAAAATCCACGCCTCTTTGCTTCAGGATTCTTGAGAAAATATTCTTTAAAAATCCACGCCTCTTTGCTTCAGGATTCTTGAGAAAATATTCTTTAAAAATCCACGCCTCTTTGCTTCAGGATTCTTGAGAAAATATTCTTTAAAAATCCACGCCTCTTTGCTTCAGGATTCTTGAGAAAATATTCTTTAAAAATCCACGCCTCTTTGCTTCAGGATTCTTGAGAAAATATTCTTTAAAAATCCACGCCTCTTTGCTTCAGGATTCTTGAGAAAATATTCTTTAAAAATCCACGCCTCTTTGCTTCAGGATTCTTGAGAAAATATTCTTTAAAAATCCACGCCTCTTTGCTTCAGGATTCTTGAGAAAATATTCTTTAAAAATCCACGCCTCTTTGCTTCAGGATTCTTGAGAAAATATTCTTTAAAAATCCACGCCTCTTTGCTTCAGGATTCTTGAGAAAATATTCTTTAAAAATCCACGCCTCTTTGCTTCAGGATTCTTGAGAAAATATTCTTTAAAAATCCACGCCTCTTTGCTTCAGGATTCTTGAGAAAATATTCTTTAAAAATCCACGCCTCTTTGCTTCAGGATTCTTGAGAAAATATTCTTTAAAAATCCACGCCTCTTTGCTTCAGGATTCTTGAGAAAATATTCTTTAAAAATCCACGCCTCTTTGCTTCAGGATTCTTGAGAAAATATTCTTTAAAAATCCACGCCTCTTTGCTTCAGGATTCTTGAGAAAATATTCTTTAAAAATCCACGCCTCTTTGCTTCAGGATTCTTGAGAAAATATTCTTTAAAAATCCACGCCTCTTTGCTTCAGGATTCTTGAGAAAATATTCTTTAAAAATCCACGCCTCTTTGCTTCAGGATTCTTGAGAAAATATTCTTTAAAAATCCACGCCTCTTTGCTTCAGGATTCTTGAGAAAATATTCTTTAAAAATCCACGCCTCTTTGCTTCAGGATTCTTGAGAAAATATTCTTTAAAAATCCACGCCTCTTTGCTTCAGGATTCTTGAGAAAATATTCTTTAAAAATCCACGCCTCTTTGCTTCAGGATTCTTGAGAAAATATTCTTTAAAAATCCACGCCTCTTTGCTTCAGGATTCTTGAGAAAATATTCTTTAAAAATCCACGCCTCTTTGCTTCAGGATTCTTGAGAAAATATTCTTTAAAAATCCACGCCTCTTTGCTTCAGGATTCTTGAGAAAATATTCTTTAAAAATCCACGCCTCTTTGCTTCAGGATTCTTGAGAAAATATTCTTTAAAAATCCACGCCTCTTTGCTTCAGGATTCTTGAGAAAATATTCTTTAAAAATCCACGCCTCTTTGCTTCAGGATTCTTGAGAAAATATTCTTTAAAAATCCACGCCTCTTTGCTTCAGGATTCTTGAGAAAATATTCTTTAAAAATCCACGCCTCTTTGCTTCAGGATTCTTGAGAAAATATTCTTTAAAAATCCACGCCTCTTTGCTTCAGGATTCTTGAGAAAATATTCTTTAAAAATCCACGCCTCTTTGCTTCAGGATTCTTGAGAAAATATTCTTTAAAAATCCACGCCTCTTTGCTTCAGGATTCTTGAGAAAATATTCTTTAAAAATCCACGCCTCTTTGCTTCAGGATTCTTGAGAAAATATTCTTTAAAAATCCACGCCTCTTTGCTTCAGGATTCTTGAGAAAATATTCTTTAAAAATCCACGCCTCTTTGCTTCAGGATTCTTGAGAAAATATTCTTTAAAAATCCACGCCTCTTTGCTTCAGGATTCTTGAGAAAATATTCTTTAAAAATCCACGCCTCTTTGCTTCAGGATTCTTGAGAAAATATTCTTTAAAAATCCACGCCTCTTTGCTTCAGGATTCTTGAGAAAATATTCTTTAAAAATCCACGCCTCTTTGCTTCAGGATTCTTGAGAAAATATTCTTTAAAAATCCACGCCTCTTTGCTTCAGGATTCTTGAGAAAATATTCTTTAAAAATCCACGCCTCTTTGCTTCAGGATTCTTGAGAAAATATTCTTTAAAAATCCACGCCTCTTTGCTTCAGGATTCTTGAGAAAATATTCTTTAAAAATCCACGCCTCTTTGCTTCAGGATTCTTGAGAAAATATTCTTTAAAAATCCACGCCTCTTTGCTTCAGGATTCTTGAGAAAATATTCTTTAAAAATCCACGCCTCTTTGCTTCAGGATTCTTGAGAAAATATTCTTTAAAAATCCACGCCTCTTTGCTTCAGGATTCTTGAGAAAATATTCTTTAAAAATCCACGCCTCTTTGCTTCAGGATTCTTGAGAAAATATTCTTTAAAAATCCACGCCTCTTTGCTTCAGGATTCTTGAGAAAATATTCTTTAAAAATCCACGCCTCTTTGCTTCAGGATTCTTGAGAAAATATTCTTTAAAAATCCACGCCTCTTTGCTTCAGGATTCTTGAGAAAATATTCTTTAAAAATCCACGCCTCTTTGCTTCAGGATTCTTGAGAAAATATTCTTTAAAAATCCACGCCTCTTTGCTTCAGGATTCTTGAGAAAATATTCTTTAAAAATCCACGCCTCTTTGCTTCAGGATTCTTGAGAAAATATTCTTTAAAAATCCACGCCTCTTTGCTTCAGGATTCTTGAGAAAATATTCTTTAAAAATCCACGCCTCTTTGCTTCAGGATTCTTGAGAAAATATTCTTTAAAAATCCACGCCTCTTTGCTTCAAGATTCTTGAGAAAATATTCTTTAAAAATCCACGTCTCTTTGCTTCAGGATTCTTGAGAAAATATTCTTTAAAAATCCACGTCTCTTTGCTTCAGGATTCTTGAGAAAATATTCATTAAAAATACATGCCTCTTTGGAGGCATAATAAAATATTTTGGTTTTTAGTAAATATCTTACCGCAATATGTAATGGCATTAAGGATGCCTTTGTCTAATAAATCCAAATTTAGATCACATTCTGCACTGGGTAGGATGTATGAAATTACAGCACTGGCAAAACATGCAGCCAGGACAACCGGCAAGCCAGCCATCAGTAGGAAAATATTAAAGCGGCCAAAACCACAGGCCTTAATGGCTGTCTCGAAATCAGCGGGACGATCTGCCATTTTGGAGTACCACACATATATAAATTATTTTTTATGTTTAAATTTAATTAATTTATTTTTTCCCACGGATAATCAAATCATTTTGCTATCGTATTTGTTTTTATTAAAATATCACTTTTTTCCCAGAAGTTTAACTTTTTCATCAAAGCTGCGGAGACAAACTGCTTAACAATGTGGGAAGTTATATTTTTTATAGAAGAACATTTGCACTCGATTTTGCACTGGATGTCGTACGACTAGATCTACCCCTATTATCTTCATTCATAAAATTTGTTGTTTGCAAAATGTTTGCAATTAATTTTCAGGTTTATCATTCATCAAATCATCAACAAATTTATTTTTATATATCGCGAAAAAGTTCCTTTGTTTAGATTGCAGTAGCTGCCGTTAACCTGATACTATTATTTCCGTTGATGTTATGTATGTATGTTTTCATATTCTTATCATTACAACGCCTTAATTTAGATATTATCAGTATTCTGATTATAAGTTTGAGTGATTTTTTCTAGGAAATCAGCTTAATGATCGCAACATTATTATGTAAAAAATATTGTAACAGTTTCAATGCAATTTGTTGCCACCTCATTTTAATATAAAGATAATTTTTGAGATATTCCAGAGATCTCACAACTGCAGAAGATATTCTAAAATACTGTGTAAAGCATTTATGGTTGACGTTGATGGTTAAACACACAGCGATTTTTTTCACATACATGTTCCAACTGAGACCACATACAATGTAGGTTCGACTCAGCCATAGCCTGTATGCAATTTAAACATACATTTAAACAGCAATGGCCAAAGGTCATAGGAGTCCGAAAAAATTGGGAAAAATCGGTTCAGATTTAGTTATAGCTCCCATATATATTTTCGTCCGATTTAAGGGGACCCCCCACTCTCGGTTTCAAAAAAATTAATTTTGTATTTAATTCGAACCTACACTAATTCAAGAATGTCCCTATAAATTTTCAAGTGAAAATCTCAAAATTTTTTGAAGATATAGCCGATTGAGGGCTTCTCAAACTTTAAACGCCTTTTTCTGCAAACAGCGTTTTTGCGAATGGCGGACACGATAACTCAAAAACTAGTAATCGGATCGATTCCAAATTTTGGGACGTTTCTCTGTGAATGTGTAGCTATCGTATGAACTAGGATAAAGCCAATCGGTGAAGATCTTCCTTATTTTTTAACATAGTTTGTGGTCAAAAATATGCGATTTTCCAAAAAAAAATTCAAAGTTCCGCCATTTTGGAATTTTGGAATTTTCGGATTCCAATGTTCCAGTGAGGAGTTATCATGCCCGAAATTAAAAATAAGGACTTTTCTTTAATCACAAAAAACAACAACAATTTTTTTTTTAATAATATTTTTCTTTTTTTTTGCATTTTCAAATATATATGTGAAAGTTTCAAGTATATATGTGTAGCAGATCGATGCGTCTGACTATGCCGATGTCCGAGAATATGTGGCACAGCTCATGGTTCATTTGACGTCCGAGAAAATATGGTATAGCTCATGATTCATTCCACGCCGATATTCACCGTCAACGCAGATCGGCCCATAGATATTTCGGATAATTTTTCTCTCAAACACTCCAAGAGCTGCCTCAACTGTTTGCGCATGTACCCATGCTCCAGAACCATGCGCATGTACCCATGCTCCAGAACCATACAACCGACTATTGTAGCATCTGTTGGCCACCACTATTCTTTACATGATTTCAAAGCTGATGTTATTAGTTTCGTTTATGGCGGTGCCGATGTATATAAAATCGTTTAGTACATCGAAACTGTAGTTTCCAGGTTCCACAGTTGGCCCAAATCTACGGGACGTCTTGCGCGTTGATACCATAAGCTTGGTCTTCTCGCCATTTATTGTCAGTGCCACTTTGGCAGACTCCTCAATTCGTTCAAATGTGACTGTTACCGCTCGCAATGTTCGACCCATTATGTCGTAGGCGAGTAACCTATGATGTTTGGGGTACAGAGTGTCATTTCTTTTCACATTATTTTTCGTGGGTCTTTTCCAGGATTTGGTGCGAAAAGTGAAAATCTGTACATTTGCCACATCTTAAGCCGCATTGGTATGGTCCAATATTGTCATTGAACATTGACTTCAGTCGTTCCCGCAGCACGCTGGATAGCACTTTATATGCGATGGAAAGGAGACTAATTCCTCTATAGTTGGCACATATCGTTTTGCCCCCTTTTTTGTGCACGGGACACAGGATGCTGAGGTTCCAATCATTGGGCATGCATTCATCTAGCCAAAATATAATAATCAGTTGGTACATGCCACCAGTCTTCAATAGATCGGCTTTTAACCCATCCGCACCTGCTGCTTTATTATTCTTCAACCAATTAATTGATATTCTGACCTCATCTTGGCTAAGTGGTATACAATCTAAATCGACATCTCTTATTGGTTCTGGGGTATCTTCTTCAACGCCACTATTTGACACCAGAAGCATTGCAAAATACTCCTTCCAGATCCTCAACACACTGTCTGTATCTGTCACCAGGTTTCCATCTTCATCTCTACAGGAGGATGTGCCTGCACCAAAGCTTTCGATTTGGTGTTTTACTCGTTGTTAAAATTTCCGGATTTAGTTCTGATTCCTGCTCTTTCTTCTTTTGTCTGGAAGTTCGTTTCTTCTCTCTCCTTTTCTTACGATAGGTCTCCATCGCATAACGTGTTGCTACTGTCTGCAGGGTTGCGCTGTACGATGTGTTTTACGCCTCAGTAGCATTACTACACTCTTGGTCGTACCATGGATTTCTTGATATTGGTCTTTGGTAACCAAGTGTGTTTTTCTGCAGTTCTATATTATTATCGGGACAAGGAGTGCTTTCGTCAAGAAGGTGAGTAAGTTGAGCGGAGTAGGCTTCTGATACCTGCAGCTTTTCGACGTTGAGTTTCCGTGTTGTGTTAGACCGCACCTTTGTTGCTACATGAAGACGACTGCGAACCTTGGCTGCCACAAGGTAAAGGTCCGAATCGATATTCGCTCCTTGTATCGATCGTTTCAAACACTTTATGAATGCCTTCCGTTGATCGGGAGAAATCCAGATGGCCTTGTGCTCATGGAGATGCTTGAATCTGTTGCTGTTATCTTCCATGTTTTTTGCTGCCGCGAAGTCAATCAACCTCATGCCGTTGTCGGATGTTTCTTCATGGAGACCGGATTTTTTCGACGGTGGGACCAAAAATATTTTCCCTTCCGATTTTTGCATTAAAATCTCTTGGCAGAATTTTAATGACATGACCAAGGCAACGGTCATATGCTGTTTCTAGGCGCTCGATAAATAAGTTTTTGGTTTGTTCATTTTTGTCTTTGGTCGCAGCATGGGCGCAAATGAGACTGATGTAGATGAGCTTCGCTTTTATACGGATTATATAGCAATTCGCTCATCTACTGGAGTTAATCTGGAGACGAGGGCCTTTATTCTCCTATTAACCATAAATCTACAAATTCATGTCTCGTTTAATGGCAGCTATAATACAGGGCGTACTCATCTGATTTACTTACGCCTGGCCCTTTCCATCGCATTTTCTGTAAGGCAATAATATCGGCTTTGTACTTTTTGAGTACATCCGCTAAAGCGAAAATTATGCCTGTTCTGTACAACGTCCGCAAATTCCAAGTGCAAATCGTAGTCTTTTATACATTTGCGGGGGTTGTCAACATTAGGGGGGTTTGCTTTTCTTTTTCTTTGCTGTTTCGTAGTAGGAGGGAAATCTTTGAGGACAAAGGAAGACGGGAATTAGGTCCAATTGACCCGTAGGGACGTTGTAAGTCAGTATTGACGATATGCAGCTATTAATGCCAGATATCCTATCTTTATCGATAATTAAAATATTAAACAATGACGACAAATGGCGATTTACTGATTTGAGACGAGTAGATACATCAACAAAAATTGTATGTGCACTAAATTGAAATAATAATGGATTTATCTCAGGATTATTAAAAAATTATATATTTTTTAAAAAAATCAATATTTTATTAAAAAAATTGGTGTTGACTTATTTATATCACAAATTTTAAATGACATCTGATATTCTTGTTGTTTAACTTAGAGATCTACACACATTTATAATGACTTTAAAGTAAAGTAAATTCAACATAGTTTCTATTTCTAGGACTGTTGTTATATTAGCAAGATTTCGAAAAAAATGATTATTTCGATATTTAGGTATTTATTTGAGATCAGCCTTTTTAGTGTTGGGAAGCATTGCCGATAGAATACAAGCCACTGAAAGATGAAAAAATACATATTCGAATAAAAAATATAAACATCATAATATACTGGGGGTAATCTTACCAAACATAATACCACCGACCATTAAGAACGGTGGTACACAGCCAAATGACATAAAGACCGGGAATAGAATATTACCAAATATGGAACCAATACGCCCGAACATAAGAGCCACACAAACGACCATTGTTCTGAATAAAAAATATGAAAGATTTATACAAATATTATTTCTATGTATTATTATTTTCCTAATTTACCTTAACGATGTTGGAAAAAGCAAGGCTGAGGTGCCCACAGCCGATGTGGCCGATAAACTACCCATGCATGCATACAAGGCTGTGATGACCAATGTTGAAGCCGTTGTACTAGACCAGTACAAGGCAAATCCACAGGTGCCAGCAATTAGCAAAGCTCCAACTGAAATGAAATTCGATTTTTATATTCGTCGCATACAATCAATCTAAAAAAATAACTGTACTCACTTTGTATCCTCTTGTGACCAAGTTTATTGATGAGAGTACCGGCCACTAGAAATACCGCAAAACATGCTCCAGCCACAATTATATTGTTGGTATATGATGACGATGAAATTATCTACACGAATTTAATTAAAAATGTCTACTTCCTGACGTATTAGGTATTTACTTACCACTGAACAACTTGAATCGGTCTCCTTAACTAATCCGGTTTTATTCACACTATACTCCAGTATGGAACACATACTATGTTCGACTCTATCCACTGAGATTTCTTGGAATTCCCGTAGGGAGGCAAACAATTGTGGTAGCCATAAACGCATAGTATTTTGTCTGTTGGGGAGATAACAAATCAGAAAATATTATAATTAAAAAGGGACGAGTAAGAGAAATGTGGTCTAAAAGGAACAATGAGAACAGAAATTAAACATTTAAAAATAACAAGGTAAAATGATGTTAAGTTCGGCCCGGTCGAACTTTTTAATACCCTCCAGCATGAGTGTCTCTAATTGGCTTTAACATGGCCCAGGCTTATCTTGGTCCATCTTTCATTTCAATTGTGGGTACAGACCTCCCCGCGGTGTCACCTGGGGCAGTTACTTTCGTCATCCGTTGAAATAGTGAGCTGAAATGTGCCTCGAGTTCCCCCATAAGAACTATATACAAATGGGTTGAGGGTTTGGGTTAATAGCTCACACTCGGGAAACCCCTACTACTATGAAAAAGCAACGAGAAAGAAAATTAAACCCCCCAAAGGATCACGTTTTGCAAATCTGCACTTGAAATGTGCGCACGTTGTACAGAACAGACGCAGTTTTCGTTTTGGCGGATATACTCAAGCCGATAATATTGCCTTACAGGAAATGCGATGGAAAGGGACTGACGTAAGTACATCAGATGATTACGTCCTGTATTATAGGTGTCATGAGACGAGAAATGAATTTGGCTAGGAGAATAAAAGACTGGATTTCTGCCGATCAAACAACGAGAAATCAAATCGATCATGTTGTCATAGACGGAAGGCATTTATCCAGTATTTTAGACATTCGATTGATACGTAGAGCGAATATCGATTCGGACCATTACCTTGTGGCAGCCAAGATTCGCACCCGTCTTAATATAGCAGCAAAGTTGCGGTCTAACAAAACACGAAAACTCGACGTCGAAAAGCTGCAAACACAACTGGTGGCAGAGACCTACTCCGCTCAACTTACCTTATAATATAGAAGCACAATTGCAAAGAATTGCAAAATAAACACTTGGGTACCAAAAACCACCACCAAGAAACCAGTGGTACGACCAGGAGAGTCGTAATGCTACTGAGCCGAAAACGAAGCGTAAAGGTCAACCCTGCAGACAGTAGCAACACGTAATTCGATGGAGAATTATCGGGAGAGAGGAGAAGCGCCTTTTCAGAAAAAAGAAGAAAGAACAAGAAAAACGTGAGCGTGGGCAAATCGAGAAGTACAGCAGTCGAATGAAGTCCGGAAATTTTACCAACGAAGGCTTTGGTGCAGGCACATTCTCCTGTAGAGATGATGAAGAAAACCTGTTGACAGATACAGACAGCTTGCAAGGAGCATTTTAATGAAAGCTTCTGGCATCGACTTCACCGACACTATTTGAACCAAAAAGAGATGACGGTATAGAGTGTATACCACATAGCCAAGATGAGGTCAGAATATCAATTAATCGGCTGAAGAGTAATATAGCAGCAGGTGACGATGGATTACCAGCCAAACAATTCAAGACCGGTGGTCAGGAGCATGCATCAGCTGATTAGTACAATTTGGCTAGAGGATTAGACCCCTTCTTATCGCATATAAGGTGCTATCCAGCTGTGTGAACGACTGAAGCCAATAGGCAATGACATTATTGGACCATAACAATGCGACTTCAGGTTTGTTAAATCCGCCATTGACCAGATTTTCGCTCTGCACCAGATCCTGAAAAAGACCCACGAAAAATACATCGAAACATGCCACCTATTCGTCGACTACAAGGCCGCATTCGACAGCCCTATCCGTTCAGAGGTGTTTAAAACCATGTCTGTGTTTGGCATTCCTGCAAAATTAATCGGAAAGGACATATCGGATCCCTTCAATACCGAACAGGGATTCTGACAAGGTGACAGTTTGTCGTGTGATCTTTTTAACATCCTGCTGGAAAAGTTTTTATTACAAATTAAAAAAAAAAAAACACCCATTTCGGTTAATTCGAAATACCAAAAATGGCTTGAGGAATTTTATATTGACCTGTTTCAAAAGATGATCCTATTTCTGAATATTATATCACATTACCGCCACATCGGACGGAATATGTAGCTAAAACCTTTAAAAAACGATGTTTCCCCGATAATTTGATTTTACTTACCCCAATAGAATACAAAAATTCAGCATGTAAACATTGATAGATAGCAAAAGGAATGGTTTTCGGAACAATGCCAAAAATGGACTTGGATCTTTGGTTTTGAAATCATCAACAATATCCTTGACTTGATCTTTGACCGATGTTGTATCAATTGTAGAAATGCTAATTTCTTCAAAGTTGACATCATTTTCTCCTTCGGGCGATACTTCATCAAGTAATTTTGTTATCTACGAGGCAGAGGGAAACATTTCATTATTTGCTTATTTAAAAACTAATAAATAAATAAAAATTACCGGATATGTATCCTTTGGTTTACGTTTATTCATCGCATATATAGTACGAAATGCTTGCAACGCCTCGGCAGTACGTCCTTGAGACATTAAAAATCGTGGGCTCTCGGGAAAGAAACTTAACGAAACACCGCTTACCAAACTAGGTATGGCACAAACGGCCAAATATACTTGCCATGAATGGACTGTGGGGACATGGTATTTTTTAATGATAATCTTATTAATAATTTTAGCGAGTTCGCCTACTTACATTGCATGTTCCATATACTGAACTCCCATTTTTGTGGCAGGATCATTAAACCCAACACTGGCATGGATAGCGATGCCATGGCAAACATAATTCCAATGCACATCATTACCCTGCCACGATATTTATTGTTGTGGAATTCCTGGAGATAGGTCATTAAAACTGCAAATGGTCCACCCATTCTGCAAAAAGAAAGAGGTTTTAGAAGGAAGTTTTTTAAAAAATATCAAAATTTGTAAAGAGCTTTAATTACACTGTGCATCAACATTTTGGGAAGTGAAAATTTTCTTATGGGGATGGAAGACCTTGGCGAGTATATTAAGAATCCATAATATCTCGCCTAGGTGCTTTAATCGTCATTATGAATTCTCCACCCTCTGATTTTGTTGCAGAGTGTCAAAAAGCTTTAAAAATGTGATTTACAAATTATTTTTAATTTAATTACAACTTACACTAAACCTCCAATGAATTTGGCAACCATCAATTGTATAATACTCTGACTCATGGCACAGGATAGAACACACACTACATCGGCCAGTAAACCCCAAACCAAAATAGCCTTTCGTCCTCTTGTATCAGCTATGTAGCCCCATGCAATGGCTGATATTATCATACCTGTAATGAAAAGAAAAGCAAATTAAAGCGTCGCTTATTTCAGCCGTCTATTGTACACCAAATACAAATTTCAGTAATTTTTATTTTGAAAACCCCAAAACGTGGTAAACATGAGGGTACGTATAAAATCTCTGGACTGCAATTTAGGTTGCAAAGGTATATGAGGTTATGCCTAAAGGGGGACCAATATTGATTAAAAAGTGTAGGATTACCAAACTTTTGTAGTTATCATTATATGAGGTGCTATGCCTAATTGATGACTGATAAAGCTCTATTTCGGAACTAACATTTTTGAATCGGAATATATTTCTTTACGCTAAATATTATTATGAGGGCTAGGCCAAAATGCGGGCTATAGTTCATAAATAGTTCATTATCAAACCTTACGTTCTTATTCTTTTATCTCGATATCCCCTGCATGTGAAATTATTACAACAGAGTCTTAGAACCACCAAAATTTTCATAATTTTTGTGGAGAGATTTGAAACCTATTAAGAACACAAAATACTAAATTACAGACAATTCGGTGGAAAAATACGATCAAAACCCCCAAAAAATACTAAAAATTAGGTGGTATCTTTATATGGGGGCTACTAGAAAAAGTGGAGCTATATTTATAATTTTTGTGGAGATATTTGGGACCCTATAAGAACCCAATGTACCAAATTTCAGCGAATTCGGTTTAAAAATGAGTTTAAGAACCCGAAAATTGGGTACCCTTATGGACCTTACCTAAACGTGGACCGATATATCCAATCTTCGAACTTGACTTGCCTACAGACAAAATACAAACCCAAGCAAAATGTCAGCACCCTATCTTAATTCCTTCAGAAGATGGAGTGATTACAACGGACTGACATGGCAAAAATATATATACGCATACATTCCTCATACTATGGTGGAGGGTATTGATCTTATGTTGGGGCTATAATAAAACATACATCGACATTGATCATTTTTCTTAGAGATATTTATTACCCAATTCGGTATTTTGAAGGGGACAAATTAAATTAAACTAAACTTGGACCAATATTAAAAATTCGTTGGAGGGACATTTTCTGCACAATGAGAACCTAAAATACCATATTACAGCCAATTCGGTGAAACGGTGTCCAAGCTCTCCAAATTGTCGGTATTTTTGAGGGTGTCCCTTAATAGTCCAATATATTGTTTCTTTATTTCATAACTCTAACCGACCGATATATGTATATTATTTATGTCTTTAATAAATATTTCGAAGTTTTACAAACGAAATGCCACCTTTAATATACACCACATGTGATGGTGAAATTGTTGGGTAAAATTGTTATTAGAAAATAGTATGCTTTTGTATCAACTGAAACTATTTTCAGATATGTGCGCTTGTATACCAACCATCTTTCAATACAAGATGTTGGAATATTTCAAATGTTAAGTGAAATGTTGATTGCTTTGTTATTCCTGTGGAACCACTTAAATTTACCTTGAATTCGTGTTTTTAATATCGGGGACATCGAACTTAAATGTTTATTCGATAAGTGCATAAGAATATTTTTTGAAATCGGTTGTTGGTCATCTTCTGATAAACAAGATACGTTTACGCATTAAAGATAAAATTAAAAAATGATAAGCTCATTCTATAGATTTTCCATACTTGCAGATCATTGATGAAAATAGGAGATTTTTTGGGAAATGTCAAAAGTTTTTGAAATTTTAAAGAGACATTCCTAAGATGTTTTAGGTTCAAATTAAATAAAAATAAAATATCGATTACAACTTAATATCGGTTAAAAGTCAACCTTCTCATGGAATATATTGGATGCGTTGTTTTTTACACTTCTCGCGTAAGTTTACTAATTTGGATGGCTATCGTGAGAATTTGAGTTTCTAATCGCACGTAAACTTACTGAAATCGCAGAGAAATATCTGGAAAAGAAATGTAACCCAGAAACAATTCGAAGAATTCTGCGTAAGCCTGGTAATTATGGTAGAGTTGCACTGGAAAAGCTATTCATAAACCCCAAAAACCGGAAAATCCGATTGGAATTCGGTCAGGTATTCAGGTATTTTGGTGAACCCATCGAGCTGGAATCTTGAAAGTTGACTTTAGGATCACTGTTGGGGTGTGCGATTGGGCTTTGTATAACGTTTTGGAAATTCGTAATAACGTGTACTAAATTTGGTACAATTTAAATTTTGGGGAACCAATATATCTGGAATTTGGGGTTAGTCCTGATTAAGATTAGGCGAGTTTACTTGCGGCAATTTTTATCGTACTCTTTTGAAATTGCTTTATGCGTCTATACAAGGCAAGTCGGATTCAAAACTATTTTTTTTTGATATTTTCTGCATGTTTTTTATGTTCGAAAATGTTCTGGATTGTTATTTCAAATTACTGACACTACATACACAAAACGTATTGCCTGAAAATTGTAGGTACGAGCATTTTTTTCCATTTTTATTCCCCTTGCCCCCCTCTCCGGCAAACAAAAACTTGCCGCAAGTAAACTCGTCTAATCTAAATTGGGACTTACGGTCACTATCTGTGTGTAGGATTGGAATTTGTAGAAAGTTTTGGAAATTTGTACTAATGTGTACAAAATGGTACCAAATGTTTATTAGGATGAACCGATAGAGCTGGAACGCTGAAATTTGGAAATAGGATTAGGATTGGGGTATTGATGTAGATTTGGAAATTCATACATATGGCTACTAAATTTGATCAAATTTGAATATTTGTGAACTGATAACATTGGGATTCGGAAATTTGGAGTTAGGATTATTGTTGGGGTGTAGGACTGGGGCATTTGGGTGAACCTACATTTGAAATCTGGAATTTTTCCGAAATAAGTATTACAAGAGTACAAAGGGTAATGAATGATACCAAATTTAGTAAAGAGCTAGATTTCTGTTGCGGTTTATAATTGGCATGTAGAGAGAGTTGAGATATGGAGTTAATTTTGGAAATACGTACTATAAGACAACATTCTAAAATTTGAATTATGGTCGGAATTGGCTTTTAAATAATGCTCACATTCCCTAACGAAGTGGCGGGCATATGCTAGTACTGTGAGGATGCAATTGCTTTTGTTTAACACTAGAACGCCGAAGGCAGTCATTTTGACCGCTTTCCAATTTCAAGTACAAAAGCAACTGTGCATTTAATGACACTTTTTTTTAAAATTTGTGACTTTTTGTACCTCATAGAATTACGCTTATTATAAAAAAATCATCAAATTTAAAAAAAGTGTAATTAAATGCACAGTTGATTTTGTACTTGAAATTGGAAAGCGGTCAAAATGACTGCCTCCGGCGTTCTAGTGTTAACAATCATTCGTTTTTTTTATTGAATTCTCATAAATATTATTAGTTTTTAATCCACTCCTCTTTGGATGGAAATAATATATTTTGGCGATAAAGTGAATATTAACCGCTTGATGTTGGAAAGGTAGATGTATTTTTCTGGAAAATCTAGCGTACAAATTGTGATGTAACTTCAACGATAAATTTTTGTTTTAATTTCGTAGCAGATGTATAAGGCTCATCTCTGAGAGTTCCTAAGATTGTTTTTACCAAACTGACACATAGTTCTATTTCGACGACTCGTTTCTGGTTGGGAAGAACATTTTATGAATTTAGAGACACAATGTGAATTTTGTGGACAAATATCGTTTCAATTATTTTTTTAGAATACACAAAATGTTTCGTGGGCTTAAGTATAGAGTATAAAATAATCAATATATTCAATCTTTGGACATTTCACTCCACGTGTTTGTGGGTCTTCTTAATTTTTATTTCAATATATAAAACAATAAAAAATAACAACAAATAAATGCAATAAAATAAACAAGAAATAATTTCTAACCAAAATTTCGAACACTCGCATGTCTACCGATATTCACAAATAAAAACTGCATGTTTTGAATATTTATGAATTAATTTCAGACAAGCAATAATTTCGTCTAGTTTTTTTTTTTTCTATTTTTGGTGAAATGAATAGTTAATAGGAATGCAAATTTGGCAACAACAACAAATCACTACTAACAGTTATTTATTGTGTCTCGGCGCCTAAGCAGATGCCAACAAATGCTATTTTTTTTTAATATTGTTATTGTTGTTTTTATTATTATCGCATAGCTTTCTCACCTGAATATGTCATGGCATTTAGAATGCCTTTATTTAGCAGATTTAAACCCAAATCACATTCGGCACTGGGTAGAACATATGACACGACGGCTGTCTCAAATACCGATGCTATGGCTGCTGGACAACCGACTAGCAACAATAAAATATTGAACCAACCGAATCCAGTTGCTGTGATGGCTGTTTCAAAATCTGCTGGGCTGGTCAAATCATATTGATATTTACAATCGTATTTATCTGCGCGGTGGGAGAGGAGGAAGATAATTGAATAAATATTTTAATATTAACACACACTGACTTATTTTTTTAATTATAAAGATTTTTTTAAATTCTAATATTATTTTTTTATTTTTTAAGGAGTTTATAATATTTTATTATTACTACAACACTGCTGAATTTTTTATAATAACTATTTAGATTTTTTATTTCGAATTTGTCATTATAATTTTTCAATTAATAACCTTTTTCATTTTTATGTTTAATTGCCATTTTGTTTGTTGTTTTATTTCTTTAATTTAGAATTATTGATTTAAAACACTTTGTTAATTTTTATTTGTATCGATAACAAAATTTCTGTGCACCAATTTTTTTTTAATTTTCACTTTTTTCACATTTTTTATAATTCTCAACGCAAAAAATATTATCCAATCAAACTTAAAAAAAAAACACCGTTAAAGTTAATTAATATTAAAGGTTTTGAATCCAAACGCGAATAAACGAAAACTGAACGTTAGGTAGGTTCTGTTTAATTGTTATATACATATTTGGGTCCTGCAATTTATTTTCAAATTTTATTCGGCAGTGTTGGTTTGTTATTCAATTGGAGACGTTTGGGGGACAAATGTTGTATTGAAAATAGACAAAGCTCATTTGTGAATATGTTTGAAATATTGCATTAGGATCAAAATTTGTACTGAATTTTATGATAAGGAGGGATTTTTTGTAAAGTATAAGAAAAAAAGGTTCCAAATAAACGTAATTAAGTTGGAATTTTTTATATCCTCCACCATGAGATGCACATTCTAAAACCTAAAACCTGGCTTATGACCGAACGGTTGTTCCATAAGCCGAGCTTTTAAAAATTTTCAAGCTCGTCGGTCTTGTGCGCATCTTATCCAATTTGAAAGGTCATTTTTCGAGATGTGTGTACCGTCAGTGGGCTCGCTCATGTTTCATTCGACGCAGATAGGCCCGTAGATATTTCTGAGAATTTTTCTCTCAAACACACCAAGAGCCGCCTAAACTGCTTGCGCAAGTACCCATGCTTCAGATGCATATAACAGCACGGGTAATATCAGCGTCTTGTAAAGTGTGATTTTGTTCTGGCGGGAGGAGGCCTTGTTTCCAAACTGCTTACTTAGACCATAGTAGAATCTATTGGGCAACACTAACCTTCTCGGAATTTCAAAACTAATGTCATTAGTTTTATTTATGGCGGTACCAAGGTATATTAAATCTTTAACTACCTCGAAGCTGTAATTTTCAAGTTCCACAGTTGGTACGAGTCTACTACTGGACGTCTTGCGCGTTGATGCCATCAGCTTGGTCTTCTCGTCATTTGCTGTCAGACCCACTTTGGCCGACGCCTTCTCAATTTGTTCAAAGGTAGCTGTTAACGTTCGCAATGTTCGACCCATTATATCGATGTCGTCGGCGTAGGCAAGTAAGATGTGTTGTTTGGTGTACAGAGTGTCATTTCTGTTCACATTTGCCTCTGGTATGACCTTTTCCAGCAGGATGTTAAAAACATCAAACGACAAACTGTCACCTTGTCTTAATCTTCGTTCGGTATTGAAGGGCTGCGAGGGGTCCTTTCCGATTTTAAGTTCTCAGCTTGTACCAGTTAAAGTTATCCTGCATAACCGTTAATTTTGCAGGAAGTCGACGAATAGGTGAAATGTGTCGATGTGTTTTTCGTGAGTATTTTCCACGATTTGGCGCAGAGTGAAAATCTGGTCAATGGAGGATCCATTTGAACCAGCGTTGGTATGGTCCAATAATATCATTGACCATTGGCTTTAGTAGTTCACACAGCACGTTGGATAGCACTTTATAGGCTATGGGAAAGAGACTTATTTTTTCTATAGTTGGCACATATCGTCTTGTCTCTTTTTTGCACGGGACACAGAATGCTGAGGTTCCAATCTATGGGCATGTATTCCTCTAGCTAAATTGTACCAATCAGCTGGTGCATGCTCCTGACCAGAATCTAACCACCAGCCACCTGCTGCTTTATTATTCTTCAATGGACTTATTGCTATTCTGACCTCATCTTGGTTAGGTGGTATACACTTTATACCGTCATCTCTTATTGGTTCTGGGGTATCTTGAAGGGGTATTCTGAAGATTTTCAAAGTGCTCCTTCAAGATTCTCAACTGACTATATATATCTGTCACCAGGTTTCCATCTTCATCTCTACAGGAGGATGTGCCTGCACCAAAGCCTTCGGTTTGGTGTTTAACTCGTTGGTAAAATTTCCGGACTTCATTCTGACTCTTGTACATCCTGATTAAAAAATAAATACATATTGTTAAACACACCATTTGCAACCTCACAGTGAAAAGTATCCGCCGGTATTATTTTCTACTTGCGGAAATTGAGTTGCACTGGAAAAACCATTCATAAAATTCAAAAACCTGAAAATCCGATTGGAGTTCGTTCAAGAACACCAAGAAAAAAGATTTTGCATTTTGGAAATATGTTGTTTTTGCTGATGAAAGCAAACCTAACTTTTTTGGTTCGGATGGACCAATGGTAAGGTACGGCACATGCCGAACAAAGCCATTGAAAATCAGCACACAATTCTGACCGGAGGCTCTGTAATAGTATGGGGCTGTATGAGCGCTGGCGGAGTAGAAAAATCCCGTTTTTATTTAAGGAATTATGGATAAGATTTAATATTTAAACATTGTAAAGGATAATTTGAAAAGTGGTGGTGAAAATTTTGGATTGGGGAAAACATTTCAATTTTATCAAGATAATGATCTCAAACACATGTCCCAGATCGTTCGAGAATGGATGTTTTTTGCTGTTTTGCAAAATGATTCCAAATAGCCTAAAAAAGATTTGGTCCAAATCTTTTGGGATCTAAAAACATTATATCAATGTTATAGCGTATATACCAATATATGCCAGAATTTTTGAAATCGGTTATTAGGGACCCCTAATAATTTAATTTTATATTTCTTCATACATATTTTGAAGCTAAGATAGTGTATTGCGTTGTCGACTCTAACCACCATAGCCTTTCTTTACTTGTTTTTTATTTAACTTTATCTTTTATCTCATTTGTCCATCATTATAACAAATCAAGTCAAGTGAAGATCAAAAAACACCATGACAATAGCGTCAGTAGCAACAGCAGCAGCAGAAGCTGAATTAGCGTCAGCAGTGGGAGTTAACTGAAAAAAATGGATTTGCATGCTGATCACAAGAAGCGCGTTAAACGAACTCGCAGAACGGCAACCCAAACAAAAAAACCTGTCCTGTTCTCAAAACTGCAAATATTTATTTCAAAAGAAAAAAAGACCGGAATTTTTCGGGCAATGTCATTTTTAATACTTTGTTCATGGATAGAAACAAAATACAATGCAATAATCTATGATTATTAAAACAATATTTTTATAAAATTAATTTAGAAAAATTTACCTAAAATAATTCTTTCAAAAAATATTTGGTTTTCAAAGGTAGCAATTTTATAATTTGTAAGGCATATATGTTGAAGGAATCGTTTTCCTTCAATTATTTCAACTGTAATAATAGTTTAATAATATAAATTCAAAATTCTTAAATGAAAATTGATTTTAAATTAATAATACACTTTTTTTTCTCAATTCCTGTTATTGCTAACATTTGAAATTTTTGTTGACATTATTCAAATTAAATTTCATTCACATTTCCCGCAACCCTCGAAGAACATTTATAATTAATTTGATGCCCTAATAACATTGACTTTCATTTTCAATGTTTATTTTTGGGTTTTGGAATCAATGATATTATTAAGTGCTCCGAAAATTCACTTTTGTACAACACAATTAAATTCTTAAATTTCAAAATGCAACAATTTATGAAATTAAAAAGCTTAGAATAAACATTAATTTCTTAGTATTTAAAATATATAGAAGCAAAAATATTTGTCTACAACACGTTTTGTTCTACTTTTAATTAACATTCAATTCAGATCAAAGATCTACAGAACAAACAAACCGGTTTTAATGAGTTCATTACTACGTCATTATATCGATTATTCTATATTATTAGTATTATATTATGTTATATTTTATTAGTATTAATATTATATTGGAAATCGGAATTGGACTTTTTTGAACTCACTATTTGTTAAAAACTTAATGAAGAAAAACTATTTTCTAGACTTCAGGAAGACAAAAATCGCAAGATAGCCCAATTTTTAAAGAATCACAGCGCTAGCTTTGGATGGGTACATCAGTGTAAGCTATGGAGTTGCAATAAAGTAAACAAATCTGTGATATTAGCTTTTAAGTCGATGTTTATTGTTATGCCCTTTACCACACTGTGGTACAGTGTTATGTTATGTCTTTGTGCATATGTTTGTAACAGGCAAAAGAAATCGAGATATAGCTCCCATATATAAATCGTCCGATTTTATGTAAATGAAGCACCAAACTACCAATATTTGTCCAATTGGGACAACATTTTGCACAGCGCACTGAATCAGGTCCATACTTATGTATGAAAAGTTTTGTTGGAATCGGTTCAGATTTACATATAGCTCCCATATATAGTTTCGTCCGATTTTATGTAAATGATGCACCAAACTCACAATTGGGACAAAATTTTGCACAGAGTACTGAATTAGGTCCAAGTTGATGTTATTATGTTGACGTTGATTATTAAAATCGGTCCAGATTTAGATGTAGCTCCCATATATACGCCCATGTGCTGCATTTCGAGTTTGCTCGAATGTGAAACATTTTCCCAAATTTGGCGTGCTCCATTCCGAATTCCCCAAAAAATATTGGGAATATTGGATTGAAAACGAAATGAGATCGTTCGTGTTTTTCTGAGTACGTTCAAGTTGAAAAAAACGCTGAAGTAATATTTAACGTGCGTTTACAATATTTATTTAAAAAATACAGTATTTACATTAGTTTTTATAGTAAAATTAAAGAAAATAAAATAGAACTCCTTTTATCAAAAACAGCGCGTAACATTTTTGAGATCAATCTGGCAACTCAACCACCATATGATCAAAATAAAAATAGAATCTATAAAAAATCTTTTAAGAATTCCAATAGTCCTTTTAATAATAGGTTCGTTCGTTTACTTTCCCAGTAATATTTACTCAGTAAGAATTTGCAGAGAGTAAATACGAATTTTTCATTCTCAAGAGAGAAAACTGCAAAAAGTAAACGAACAACATCCAGTAAAAAGATTGTTTCGACACAGCTGATTAAAACAACAAACAAATTGTCGCAAACTAAAAAACAGCATTTTTATTAGCAAAATGGATAACAAGGGGAAAATGTATGTTGTTTACCAATACTTGCGTTTTCTTTATCATTTTTAATGTTTAATAATACAAAATCAATATAAAATTCACAAAACAATCAATTTGGTTGAGGACAATTTTGTTGTTTGTTTACAAAATATAGCAAAACAGCTGATTAAATATCAGCTGATGGTACAAGAAAATTCTTACTGAGTAAATTTTCCTTGTAAGAATTTGCAAATACTCAGTAACACAACTGTCAAATCTGCTCTCTCAATTCACTCTCTTTTACTGGAGTTTTGGGTAAACGAACAACATTTTGTAATATTTTGTACAAATTCGTACAAATTATTGAGTAAACGAACGAACCTAATGTTTCTTGCAGATGTGTGCACTTTATTATATCGATGTTGACAAGATGTTTATAGGGCGTCATCAAAAATGTTTCTAAAGCGTAACCACTGTCTCCTAGAAGCCAACTATTTTGCATACCATTTCCTCTTTTGTTAATGCTGCCTAGCTGCACTCATATGCCAAATAAAAGCATCATGGCTGGATCCTGGTCTGGAGCTGTCCACAGCTTGCACACACTTTGTCTTCCAGGAATTTCATTACCCTCCACAACATTTTACACATTGTTGTGCGATCAACACTTACATTTTAATCATTTGATTTTTTTTTTTTTTTGAATGATACACCATTCTCCCAATATTTGTCCGATTTTGAAAAAAATTTGACACAGAGTACTGTATTAGGTCCAGACGGATGTCTGCGAAATGGAATACCATACTGCCCATATTGGTCCGATTGAAACGAAAAATTGCACAGTGTACTGAATTAGGTCTAGATTGATCCATGCCATGTTTTGTTTAGATCGGTACATATTTAGATATATCTCCCATATATAGTTTCGCCCCAATTTATGTAAATGGAACACCATACTGCCCGT